AATTTCCTAACTTCCTGTTCTGTTCTGAGAGTTGTTATTGGTCGATTATTTTTGTTAGCCAATTGCAGCACGCAGAACAGAACAGGAAGTTAGGAACTTGTAACAGGAAGTTAAGAACTTCTAACAGGAACTGAGGAAAATTTTTTGGCTTTTAGCAACATTGCAAATTCCCTCAAGGAATTTGCAAGGGAGTTTTTTAAATTGCAAAAGTAATGAGGAAAATTGCAATCAATTTAGAAACTCAAAAGAGGAACGCTTCACGTAGTTTACCTGTAATACTAGGCAAAAATGGCAGCCCTGTCTTTTTATGAAGCTCTTATTAAACAAAAAAATTCAGCCAAAGGGCTGAGTTAAAAAACGAGCTCAGGTTAAAAATTAAATTTCAAACCTGTTTCGAGCACCCGAGGGCTACTTTATTGAACAAATTCCAAGGCTGTCAACAGTAATTAACGAGTTTATCCCCACGCTTGAAAATGCTTCATGTAATCGGCACATACTAGAGTTATTATTAAAACTTAAAAGAGCATAGATTTAGCCAAATTTGAATAAATGACCCACCGGGCACACGACGTTGTTTCAACGTTGAAATTTGGTAGAAAAAAGGTTGTGACGTCGACAACCTAATATCTACGTTGCTCTGACGTTGTTTTACAAACATTGGTTCAACAGCAGCCAACAGACGTTGAATTAACGTTCATTCATGGTTAAATGCACGACGTCGATTTGTGAACCAATCTCAACGTTGTTTTAACGTGGAGTCAACGTTGAATTATGGTTGACGAGATTGGCAACCTAATTTCAACGTTGTTTCAACGTCGAAACTGTAACGTCGATCCAATTTGCATAGTCAACCCTTTTTCAACGTCTATCCAACGTCTGGAAGGTCATTTCCAACGTTGATTCAACGTTGGATAAACGTCATTTTGCCCGCTGGGGAACATTCAAACAATCTCAAAGCCCCAAACCGCTCTCGAATACACAATTCCCATTATAGACTAATTTTAAAACTAGGCAAGGAAAATAAATCACCACAGCTAGAAAGAGCATACTAAAATGAGTAACATTGCAAAGCTTGGTTGCGAAATGTTGTAAAATGCGGAAAACATAGCAAATTTTGTATACTTTTGTATTGCGTGTAGCCAGCATGGCTGGCTCTACTTAATATAAAAGAGCCGGCCACGCTGGCTATATTGCGTGCGGAAATTGCTACCACATTTGACCGAAAATGTAGCAATTTCCGCACGCAATACAAAAGTATTTGCGAACTTTGCATGCATGGCAAGGCTATATGTTCCGCATTTTACAACATTTCGCAACTAAACTTTGCAATTTTACTCATTTTAGTATGCTCTTTCTATAGCTGCGTTTACACTGCACCGTTTTCGTAGCGTTCTCGTATTGTTCGAGATCTAACTAGACTATTGTCTTGCGTTCCCTTGAGGATTAAGAACAATACGAGAACGCTACGAAAACGGTACAGTGTAAACGCTGCCTTATTTGCATCTCCTTGCCTAGTTTTAAATTACTCTATAATGGGAATTGTCTATTATTGTGTAAACACACGCACGGGACGCAGGAAGTGGCCTTCTGTTCTTATTCCCCAAAATCTGAAATACCCAACGCGAACATCGTTGGTAAGCTACTAGTCTATAAATTTTGTGTATCTTGTCCAAATCTTTGTCATCCAGAGGTCAGTATCTTCAAGATAGCGATAAACGTCTATTTAATAGCCCTACCGACAGCATGTTCGCTTTGAATTCTGCACTTGTAAAAGCAGTCAAGCACTTCTCCCCTTGTGTTTCAGCCTCCTTCAATCATGTATCTTATTCATCGTATTCTAATGCTTTATCGTGGCAACAAAACAATTCAATATCCTTTGGCTTCAATGTGCAATGCGCCAAGCATTTTCGACCTCAAACACATGGTGATTTCCTCGTCAGATGATTCACTCTGTTGGGCCTGTCGGTTCTTCGGAGTCGCTCTCGTCACCGCTATCGCTTGTTTGTAAGCCCAGTTTAGGTTCAAATTGATAAGATAATACCTTATCTACTTGATATCATGGATATTATCCATCCGAGTAATAAAAAGCGCCAAATTTCTCACTAGAAGTACGAAGTCGCAATATGCGCCTAATAAAATATATTTGTTGTTTGGATTCTACCCTGCTCTTGACGTCACACAGGTCATGTGACCCAAAAGATAATTTTTTTGAAAATCGATCCAAGATGGTGGACGTACCGAATATTTATGGCGAAATAACTCGAGAACAAAACATTTTTGATGAAAACTAATAGCATATTCGTAATCAGGGGGTCCAGTTTTACCAACATCAGGAATAAAAAAATTTATTGCCATTGCCCTTTAATCGTTGTCTTGACTCTTGGCTATCTTGGGTAAGTGTTATAAACAATTCAGTATTAAAATTTCACACCGTACTTGCATGCTTTGTGTTTTCGATTCTATTCATATCGGCGAAATTTTTATGCCATTCAACGCAATATATAATATATTTTTATGCAAGCTGGTATTTACATGAAAATGTATAAATGTAGTGATTTTAAATATTGTTTATTTTGGGCAATTAATACAGCATATAGTGTTTTTATGCGTGTTTATAATGGTCTTTTAGCTGCAGCAAATATGGCTTCACCAAAATATAACTCAAAAACTAGCTTTTGCTTATATAAAGCAAATATATTTCACCGTATTTTCGAGCAAACTACTGACTATACTGCCAACAAAGCGAGTGTTTGAGCTTCCCCTGCAGTTCCACGGCAAAGTTTCGAAACGCTAGCTTTACCGTTACATTTTACATTAACTTTTAGCCGATTGAAAGCCATATAACATAAAACTACATTCCTTTTAAGTTAATAACAAACAAGACGCCTGCTCAGGCGTTCACACTGGCCTGAAAATAACGAGATACGTGCTATGGTGCAAAAGGCAGGAATACAAATCTTAAACCGCAAGCAAATTTTATGGACTTTTTAAAAAATAAAAGACCTTTTCGGGAGACGTAATGGAGATCGATGCACGTGCAAATCATGCCGACCTACAGAATCGATTTCCGGTTTTTCCTAACAGCGCGTTGTTTTCATGTGCGTTCCATGGGTCGCGCTAAAAATATAAATATTCTGTAAATACCGAAATAAAAGATGAAAATCTCAAGACACAAGCTTGAAAATAACACTATAAATAGTGTTTTCGATTCTGGTTCCAATAATATTATCACGAAAAAGTTATGTCCAAAGGGGCCGAAGTTAGTTTACATTGTTTGTTGTATTATGAAATATGATACCATACTTGTATTAAAATTCGCGTCGAACTAATGTTATTGTAAACGAGTAGACTTGCCACAAGTCGACCGAAATGCGTTTCTTCGAGGTCGACTTGTGGCAAGTCTAGCAAATGAGAACCATACAAATGACACAATAATGGTTCTAGTTCTTGTTGGTATTTTGAATGCACGCTTTATCTTTAGTATAGCTACCACAAAGCTTTTCGCGCGGATTATATTTCGTGGAGTACTAAATATTATATTTTGTGGTTTTCGAGTCATTACACAAAGAAAAACACATTAATTCAACAAGCAAGAAAGTCCAGAGTACGACACAACGTAAAATACATGGGAAACCGGCACAATTCTTTGAAAATTCAACGAAACTGTGTAAAATATAGTTTGATCACTCTGTGAAAAGCCACCATTGCAGTTCGGAATTGTGCGCGTGCGTACGGGCTAATAAACGAAAAATGTACCACAAGCATGGCATGAGTCGGCTATTACGTACATATACAGGGTGTATAAAAAAAACGGAGTCCAACTTTTGTGCTTAATAACTTTAGGACTGTTACTTCTAATAAAACGGTTTTAGGCTTATTTTAAAGCCTGTTCATTTATCTTTCGAACAAATGGTCATCCGTGTCTTTAGTGTAAGTAATAACTGCACAGAAGAAAATTTAGTAAAACCTATCATGTTTAGATGCCGCTTAATTATACAAATTTACTGTGCTATTCCATATTCGGTTGCAATGTTTGAATTTTCTTGTTCAAACTTTAATGTTCTTGTTGCCACATCAGAAAAACTAGTAAGAACTTGTTAAAAACATTCTAAAAGAGATTAGGTTGTTTTATTTATTTCAAAATCCTAAATTATTTCCAGAAATCACCAAAACAACCTTACGTCCATGCATCGTCCGAACGAGCACCATCGAATCGGGCCGTAATGTAAATATAAATTAGCAAGTTGACGGCAAGCTAAAACACGCTTCAGCCGGTATTATAACGCATTTAAAGTCAGCAAGTGAATATAAAATAGTGTATTGGAAGCCATTATTACTTGATTTTTACAAGCAATTGCCAAAATGCCTCAATTTGCTCGTTTTGTTGACAAAATAAGTTATTTTCATCAAGTACCGGTTTGTTATTGCATCTCAAATTTTTGACTCTCCAATCGCAATCACTTAAAATATTATTATTCACGAACTTCTGGATTATATTTACGAAACATCCCACCGTTGAAAAGCTGAATGCCTACGCTTTAAAATGAATGTAAACCTGAACGTTTTGCTTTAATATCCGTTTCGAAATTTATATTTGAAGCGAGGACTCCGTTTTTTTATGATACACCCTGTATACGAGCTTATTACTATATACTATCTAAATCATGGAACCGAGGGAATCGATGGCATTTTGGCTTAATCGTTGCACCCTGAGCCTGCGATGAGCTAACGCAAACTCGATTTCTAGACTACGAAAAAAAAAACAGAAAAAGGGGGATTTAAGACACTTGGCCTTACAGGCCAGTGTAATTATGAAAATCAACGATTCTTTTGGCAAAAAATTATCTCCTATTATGTTCTCATATTATGTTCATGTTACCATAGCGACTATTATTATTTTGAACATGGGGTACTTCATGCTGAATAGAATTTCTATACTTCATCTATTAAAAAAGGCGAGGCGGGTTGCTGCATGCATGTATTTCTAGTAAAATAGCAAAATACATCTTTGCAAAATGAAAAACAATTTTTTAGTGCGAGCTATTACACGTGCATGCGCAAAAACGTCGAAGACCGTCCATCACATAATGGAGGACAACTTTGCACTTCGCTATGTTTTCAAACACCCGGCTGTAAATAGCCGGGCGGAATTAGTACCCTCGCACGGCGCTTCGCGCTGCCGGCTCGGGAATAAAAAATAAATAAATAAACTTTAGTAAAATTTTCGAGAAATGTGTTTTTAATCAGGTATATACATACAGGGACGCCGGAACTGGGGGGCAGGGGGGGCGGCTGCCCCCCTTTCCCTTTGCTAGGGGGGGGGGGGGCAGAAGTGCCCTTTTAGTTGTAAAATACTACGTGATAAATCACATTTCCAACGATGCTTTTTGTACGAAAATCATGAGATTCAGGCAATTTATAGTTTATATATGACTTTTGGTATGTCCGAAAAAAATTTTGACCCCTAAAATGGTACACTGACCGAAATTATTTTGGCGACGGGTGGGGGGGGGGGTCGCCCAAAATTTTGATTTTGAAGTTTTGCTCTATAGATGTGCCCTTGGTGTGGGTCCGCCCCCCTTTTCCTTATTATCGTTCCGGTGTCCCTGTATACATATCTTAATGAAAATACGTTGCTGTCCAAATATCGCGAACATGTTTGTACTATAAATGGACATACATCGTCCCCAAAAAAGATTATATGTGGTGTCCCTCAGGGTTCAATTTTAGGGCCTTTGCCGATTCTAATTTATATTAACGACCTACCATCGCAGCCGTCATTCAACAAATATTGCAAGAGTTACTTTAGTCAGAAACTCGCGAGTTCAAATAAACTTAACAGCATAAGGCTTTATTAATTAATTAAGACATCTAAAAATATCATTAGTAATTAATTGTTTAATATAAGTGTATAGTCCAATAAGTATCAGTGACAGTATATTTCTTTGTTAAGAACATTTAGTGTTCGTTTGTTTGCATGGTTTCTCTTTTATTAAGACTATAAGTTGGTTACTTTCTTGATGTACGAACTGCCAAAGTTCATGCTTGCAGTTTTAGCTGAGCATGATCTAACGTTTGGTTGTTCGTACATGGAGAAAGTGCCAAATATTGTCATGTTTATAATGTCACCTTAGACACTTGTGAGTTGTGTGTCAACGTATTTCGACATATTATTCTGTAAATATAATTTAAACATAGTTAGAAAATTGCCTAATTAGAAAATTGGGGCTTTCTAGAGGTATGAACAACTGACTGTAGCACTGGTTAAACTTTACATTATACCCATGATTTCATTTGTTCATACTCCTAGGAAGTACTGAATATTGTCACTGTGTTTAATGTTATTGTTGTGTCTATAGAGTTTAGGAGGATCAGATTGGAAAAAAGTTGTAACTTTATCTGTTTATATCCTCAATAAATAAAGTGTTATTATTATTATTATTATCTTTACAAATATTATTATTATCTTTACAAAATTTAAAATCCAAAAAGGGTGAACTCAGTGAAATTAAATACGTATCGCGTACATTGCGTGACAGGCTCCGTAACAATAGCAACGACGCCAATGACTTAAATGACAGTGAGTCTTTTAATCACAACAAATATCTGGAACGAAGCTTTTGGGGCTATGTTAAAAATATAATCAATAGAAAAGACGCAGTATTACCATCATTTAACATGACTGATTGCCTTTCTTATTTCTCTAAATCTCTGGCTAAAATTAATCCTAACAAGCTATTTGTAATTCCCAGCTGGATCCCAAAGTTATCTGATCCTGAAGTTCAATTTAACCTTGACCCCCCGACCTATCAACAAATTACGAATGTTATACGCAAAATGAAATCGTCTGGTTCTCCTTGCCCTCTTGATCAACTTTCTATAATAAGTTTCAAGCATTGTCCTTATCTGAGGACTTACCTTATTGAGCTAATTCACGATATTTGGCTATCTGGAACTGTCCCAACTGAGTGGAAAAGAGCATGTACCATACTAATCCACAAGAAAGGCAACAATAATGACCCTTCAAATTTCCGCCCCATAACACTCGAATCCATACCTTTAAAAGTATTTACATCTTGTTTCCGAAACGCAGTATACTCCTTCCTCGCATCTAATAACTTCGTCGAACACAACATACAAAAAGGCTTCACCCCCAACCTATCTGGCACTCTAGAACATACTGCACAAATGGCTGACATTATTAATAAAGCTCGGATCAGACAACGCTCTGTTGTCATCACCCTACTTGATCTTAAGAATGCCTTCGGCGAAATCCATCACAACCTCATCCAATCCGTACTTGACTACCACCATACCAATGATTATGTAAAATTTGTTATAAAAAGTTTATATACTGATTTCCAAACCTCGATAATTACCTCTGAATTCCGCACTCCTTTTATGACAGTTGGCCGTGGCGTATTGCAAGGAGATTGCCTCAGTCCTCTTCTTTTTAACATGTGCTTCAATACGTTCATTCAGCATATCAAGGCTGAAAAGTACCGTCAATTTGGGTTTTCCTTCAAGTTGCTAACCATTGGTTCCAGTTTGCTGATGACGCGGCTGTAATTACTGGCCAAGAATCCGAAAACCAACATCTATTAAATCGATTTTCTATCTGGTGCCAATGGTCCGATATGATTAATTATCCGAGTTGACAAATGCAGTACCTTCGGCATTAAAAAAGCGATCACAAAATCAGTTCAGTACTTGCCAAAACTCCTCATCAGCAATCAACTAATACCAAAAATCACCATTGGAGAATCATTTCAATATTTAGGACGTTACTTTGATTTCCACGTGTCGAATGATAATCACAAAACTGAACTAACCACCCTACTTAATGAACTAATGTCTGATATTGACTCAAAGCCACTACACCCCAAAAATAAACTCCTCCTCTACAGTCGCTACGTGTTGCCCAAGTTAGCCTGGCACTTCACCGTCGCAACACTCTCTAAAACATGGGTTACTGAAAATATCGACTCTATTGCCAACAAATATATCCGCAGATGGCTTGAAGTACCAATATCAGGAACACTAAGTACTGTCTTTCTAACAAATAACAAATTTGGCCTGAGTATTTATCCTCCATCCGTAAAATTTATCCAGTGTCAAACAGTCCTCCGAAAAGCTTTAAAATCTTCTCCTAATGAATCAACTAACGACCTGTGGAGAGCAACCAGTAACCATACTAATATCCAATATGACGCTTATAACTCTACTAAGGAAGTTCTCAAAAATTTCCGTTCTGGACACGAAAACAAACTCCTAAACCAATTAACCAGTCAAGGATCCTTTTTCTGCAGCGTCACGAAGTTCGCTTTACCTCAACTTAACAAGGTTTGGTCCATCGCCCAATCAAAGCTCCCGAAAAACATTTACAACTTTACCATTCGTTACATTAACAACTCTCTTCCGACCCGCAAAAACCTAAACAGATGGGCAATATCTTCAAATTCAGACTGTTCTTTTTGTCTTAGCCCTGAAACATTACTACACATAGTAGCTGGATGTCAGTATTATCTCGACCGATTTACGTGGAGACACAATTCAGTCCTGAACTTTCTTGCTCATACTTTACAAACTGTTGACGGTTCTACTCTCTACGCTGATCTAAATGGATTCAAAAGCCCTTCAATACTTACTGGTGATACGTATTGCCCAGATTTGTTATTATCGTGCTCAAATGGTTCCTTATATGTGGTTGAACTCACCACTGGTTATGAGACAAACCTCAAAAACAACGTAAAACGGAAGAAGGATAAATATAGAGAATTATTGAGACAGCTAGGTAAAAATTTTAACCAAGTTAAATTTATAAATCTCTCCATCAGCTCTTTAGTTATTTTTGCAGAAGAATGTTATACATTTTTAGACATGTTAGATAGTATTGGTCTTGACAAAAACCACCAAATGTACTGCGTTAGGAAAATGATGACTATTGCTATTAGAACTACATATTACATTTTTTGCTGCCGAAATAAGGAATGGGAAAATCCGGATTTACTAACAATTTGACTTATCTCATTGTATATATATATATTGCATGCACTTTGTTCTGTTATTTTAGTTTAGTATATAATTGTGATTCAAATAGCCAACCGTAAGTTACCTTTATGAGAGAGATTTACGATTGTATATGTATGTAAAGAAAAAAATTTAATAAAGTTTCCATTATTATTATTATTATTATTATTATTATTATTATTATTATTATTATTATTATTATTATTATTATTATTATTATTATTATTATTATTATTATTATTATTATTATTATTATTATTATTATTCTCTTTATAACTTTATTGAACATCAGATTCAAAAAGGTTTCACTCCCAATCTGTCTAGCACTCTGGAACACACTGCTCAAATGACAAATATTATCAACCAAGTGAGAATAAAGCAGCGCTCTGTTGTCATCACCCTTCTCGATCTCAAGAATGCTTTTGGTGAAGTGCATCATAATCTAATTCAATCTGTCCTCGACTATCATCACATTCCCAAAGACGTTAGTGAAATAATAAAGAGCTTGTATACGGACTTCAATACTGCATTTATAACATCAGAATTCTCCACCCCATTTATAACTGTCGGTCGTGGAGTTCTTCAAGGAGACTGTCTTAGTCCTCTGATTTTTAATATGTGCATCAATACCTTTATTCAACATATAAAAACTGACAAATACCGGCAATTTGGTTTCATTACAAATCTTTTAAACCCAGTCCATTGGTTCCAGTTCGCTGATGATGCTGCGGTAATAAGCGGTCAAGATTCAGAAAATCAACATCTTTTAAATCGATTCTCGATCTGGTGCCAGTGGTCTAACATGATTGTCAGGGTTGATAAGTGTTCAACATTTGGGATCAGGAAAAGTCTCACAAAATCTATCCAATATTTACCTAAACTTCTGATTAACAATGAATTGATACCTGCCACTAAAATTGGAGAGTCGTTTCGATACTTGGGGAAATATTTTGACTTCAGTATGTCCGAAAAAGAACACAAACAAGAGCTAATCACTCTCATGGACGACATTATGTCTGAAATTGATCTCAAACCTTTGCACCCAAAAAATAAACTTTTGCTTTATAGTCGTTACCTCCTATCCAAACTTTCCTGGCATTTCACTGTAACCACCTTATCAAAAACCTGGGACTCTGAAAATATGGATTCTGTGGTGAACAAGTACGTACGTAAATGGCTTGAAATACCTATATCAGGAACTCTATCTAACGTCTACCTTACCAGTAACAAGTTTGGTCTAAATATCTACCCGCCGTCAATTAAGCTTGTTCAGTGCCAAACAGTTGCTCGTAACGCCTTAAAGACCTCTCCAAATCATTCCATAAAAGACCTCTGGAAAACAACATCTAAAAGCAAAAAGATTCAGTACGACGTCTACACCTCGACAAAGAAAGTCCTTAAAACTTTTACCTCCGGACAAGAAGACAAACTGCAGAATCATCTGATTTTGCAAGGCTCCTTCTTCTCAAATGTCATTAAGTTTTCACTGTCGAAATTAAACGGTATATGGTCTAAATCCCAATCAAACCTCCCAAAGAACATCTATAACTTCACCATTCGTTACATTAATAACTCACTTCCAAC